TTTTACGTCTGCTGTTTAAGCTACAATTTTAACCATAAATATGGCTCACTTTACACATTTTCTAACTACAGATAGAGTTCAGTTTAAGTAACTAAGACTTTAATGGTGAAAGTCATAAAGCAGAATTATAAAGCAGAAGCAAGTTTTCATTTCTTAGTACACTTTCCACAGAATACTTTCACTAATGCTAAGAGAATTTTTAATCAAGTCTAAGCGCTTAACATGTTTTGTGTAAATAATTTAAAATGTACATATACATTAACTGTTAGGTTTGCCTTACATATTAAGCTGGTATAGAAAATAATTACCAAGAAAAAAGGTTAATTTAAACGTTATCTCCCATATATAATTTCTAATATTTTTTTTTAATAATACTCTGTCAGGTCACTATAATTTAGTATTAAAACCATTAAATATTGAATTCCAATGCTATATAGATTACTCCCACATTATAAGACTGCTATAGACTTTTGTTCAGAAATTTAAATTAGAGCATATAATCTCCGATTGAGCCACACTTTGTATGCTCACACAAAACCACTAGATATTGAGCCAGAGCCAACTCTGACTACCAATTTTGAATGTAATTTAATTTATGCAGAATCAAAGCTGATTATTTGCACCGGTGGAAAATGGAGACCGACCAAAATTGTAATATACACCCACAAACATACAGCTAAATAAATATTTGATTTGCTTTATTGCATCAGGCTATTGGCTATTGGTAGTTGCATAATTGAACGTCGAATGCGATTAATGGCCAAAGCAAACTGAAATCGAGGCCATTGAATTATGGTTGGAATTGTGAATGTTAAGCTTCACAATTAAAATTAAAGCTGGTGGGTTTTTTCTTTTATTTTCAATATGTAATGTGTAATAATTATCTTTAATCAAGCGATAAATGTCGATCAATTAAATTATGACTGCTAATTATGTAAACAAACTTTTTGTACAGCAGCATTTGCATCGGCTTTATGGATGTGCATCCAATTTGCAGGCCGAGTGGTCCACATTTTGATGACATTTGCACAAACTTCTGAATATAAACCATTTCGAGTAGTTTTTCCTTGTGCTAGCAGCATGCAGCTTGCAGCACGCATACGCACTGTTGGCCAGCACTTTTTGTATATCGATGTCGACTGTGAGTGCAGTTTGCTAAAGTGCTTGCCAAGAGCTGAGCGCTTTTTTTTTGCACCTAATGCCTGGCACACACAAATTGATGCTCTCCGGGAGATGCAAACGCATGCCCGCCGGATTGTCCTTGAGCTGCCAGTCCACCCCCCGAAACCCACGGTCCAACCTGTATATCCATACTACTAAAAGTTTGTCAAAGCTTTTGGCCAAAGCCCGAACAAAAGGGAATACTCACTCTGGACAGAGGGGTATGGTAAATGGTAAATGGCAGAGCAGGATTATATCAGTTCCTGTTTCCTCGTTTTTTTTTTGTCTCAACCAGGTGTAATGCACCCATGCCCATAAAGGATTAGGAGGCACACAGGCTGGGCCCCAAAACCCAGATATCCTGGAGCCTTTGCCACTGCAGCTGGGGGCTAAACACAAACAGTTGCCGGCGATGCCCGGATAATTGTTACAATATACAAAATTTTCATTTAGTTTATTTACCCAGCGACAACATGTCAGCACAACAGCAACATCAGAGTCAGCAGCAGCACCAAAAACATTAGTAAACAGCCACGCCCCCAGGTTACAGTGGGTTAAAATATGTTTTTTTGGCAGCAAATTTAAGTGGTGCCTCATAACTTTCGAATTATTCCAATAAATTTCATTTTTGCCCATAGTGCGGCTGTGCAAGTGTTTGTGCACAGGAAGTTTGTGTATTTATTTGACTTATGTGACGTTGTAAATGGGGGGAATACGAGTTTGTACGAGTGCTGGGCCTGGATGTTATTTAAAATGCAGACATGTGTAGCCTGTAGTTGGTGTTATTGCTGCTGGTGCGCCATTAAAATCCCAGCAACATTGTTAATGAACTTTTAATGACTTTTTGTGAGTACACACACTAAAACAATATCAACTTTGCCACCCAGTACATGGAACACAAATCTCAGGGCTTCAGTTTTGCTTTTTTCGTTCTGCCAATTTTTGTATGGGAAAAAGCGTGAAATCTAAATTTAAAACAAACTTTTGACACCACAGGGACAACAGTCGCATTGCACCAACATTGGCAAGTGCAACAGCAACAACAACAAAAACAACAACAGTAATACTATTAATATGCGAAATTTGGAGTGGAGCTGGAAGGCCGGGGTCAACTTGTTTACACAGAACCCCAGTGGGCGTGTGGGTGAGAACGTGTGCAGTGCATCTTGATTAACAAATCAACTGGAATTGGAATGCGATTGCATGCGATTCATCAGTAATCGGAAATCTTGGCTGCGGGCCAAATGGAGACCCACCATCATCAATCCTGCCATTGCCATCCTGTTGCCCCGCAAGCAATGCGAAGCACTTTCGCCACGATTTAAGGCAAATAAATCCATCAGCCAGGAGGCGAATACCAACTAAATGAGCCTTAAAGTGGCTTCACATGTACTGGAAAGTGATGGTGAAATGTTTACTGAATGCTATGGCTCTTTACCAATTTGGGTGTCACGGAAAGTGATTTTCATTGATTTTCAATCATTGTTTTATGAGGTGGAAATATACTTTTAGTACCGAAATAATACAGATATTACGTGAACACTTTCGATTTCTTGAATTCTCTTTTAGAACTTTATTTTGATTTTTAAAGCGTTGTATAAAAAATACTTGATTTTATATCTTTGCATCAATATTTTATAGTTAAAAGTTTCTTTATTATGTTTAGAACTTAATTAAAGGATAAAAAAGGTGTTGGTAAAATTTAACTGATAAAAACAATATAACCTCCAAAACGAATTTAGTTCCAGTCATATTTTTGTACATAAAATTTAGATTAGTCGACAAAAAGTAAACAAATGCTTCTGATAAAGCAGTTTATAGGCAAAACCGCAAGATAAAGAAATTAGGTTTAGTTTCTGTTTCTGCTTTATTATCATGACGTCTCTTTCTCCCGCTTATCGCTGATATTTAAACTCGCGTTTCCCACCACGATCGCACAGTCTTTGGCTAACCAGTGTTGAGTAAGGTGTGGCTGTGGTGTGTGTATCTACGATCTGTTGTGGTGAACTGCTGACCAGCTGATTGGAAATCTTTTGTTTGGACACACAATTAAATTGATTAGAGGTTATCAACCGGCTAAAGTGGAATTCAAAATGAGTACCGCCAAGTGGGAGAACAATGAGGAGATTAAGATCTTTCGCGAATACCTGCGCATACCAACGGTTCATCCAAATGTGGATTACAGTGAGTTTGAATATACTTTTATCTATATGATTCTCCGATTAGAACCCAGATCTTTATGACCTTGCCATAAAATGTGTCTGCTATTTATAGCCGCCTGCACGGAATTCTTGAAGCGCCAGGCTGCCAGCTTGAATCTACCTGTGGAGGTTGTCTACCCAGTGAACGAGCAGAATCCCGTGGTGGTACTGAAATGGCAGGGATCGCAGCCAGAACTGCCCTCCATTATCCTCAATTCGCACACTGATGTGGTGCCTGTCTTTGCCGATAAGTGGACCCACGATCCCTTCAGTGCTGATCTGGATGCTGAGGGTCGCATCTTTGCCAGAGGATCGCAGGACATGAAGTGCGTGGGCACTCAATATCTGGGAGCAGTACGTGCCCTCAAGGCCAGTGGTTATCAGCCCAAGAGGACCATATACCTCACATTTGTGCCGGATGAGGAGGTCGGCGGTCACCTGGGCATGCGGGAGCTGGTGAAGAGCGACTACTTCAAGAAGCTTAACGTAGGATTCAGTTTCGACGAGGGCATCTCCAGCCAGGATGAAACCTACGCCGTCTATTACGCTGAAAGGACTCTGTGGCGTAAGTATATTGAACCGCATAAGGTTCGATGTTCTTTATACTTTTTGTTTCCCAACAGATCTTCGTTTCAAGATCAGTGGCACTGCGGGACACGGATCGCTTTTACTGCCCAACACAGCTGGCGAGAAGCTTAACTATATCGTCGGTAAATTGATGGAATTCCGCAAATCCCAAGTCCAGAAACTTGCTGACGACTCTTCCCTTGAAATTGGTGATGTGACCACTGTGAATCTCACCCAACTTAGGGGCGGAGTGCAGAGCAACGTAGTTCCTCCGCTCCTGGAGGCTGTTTTTGATATTCGCATAGCCGTCACCGTGGACATCGCTGCCTTCGAGAAGCAAATTCGCGACTGGTGCGAGGAGGCTGGCGGCGGCATCGAACTGGAGTTCGAGATGAAGAACCCCTTTGTGGAGCCAACAAAGATTGATTCATCGAATGTCTACTGGCTGGCCTTCAAGAAGGCTCTCGATGACCTGTAAGGATTACACAAACCTGTAACAAAAGGCTTTGTTTTGATATAACTTTTGTTTATTTCTTTCAGTGGCCTCAAGACACGGGTTCGAGTTTTCCCCGGCGCCACGGACAGTCGCTATGTCCGTTATGCAGGCATTCCAGCTCTGGGTTTTTCGCCCATCAACAACACCCCCATCCTGCTGCACGACCATGATGAATTCCTGAAAGCCGACACCTATTTGCATGGCATCGAGGTCTACAAGAAGCTCATTCCCGCCGTGGCCGATGCTTAGCGAACTGATTCCACTTAAGAATTTGTGCATTTTTATATTATCTTAACTATGTTTGTTTAAAGAACTTTGTTTTAGCAGGCTAATAAAAACTGTTTGAAATATTAAAATGTCTGTTTTAGAAACTAGCCACGCTGAGTGAAAGTGTGGAAGCAGATTTAATAAACCATCGATAGCTTAGCGGTTTATTATCTAGGACTTCTAGATAATAGATGTGCACGCGAAATAGAAAATCCGCAAGCCGCAATCAACTGGCTTAGAGTCAACAACTGATAAGGTCATAAAGTCAAACTAGAGCCCTCTCAGACTTAAAACCAAACAACGTTACGGATTATAAGTCAGTCTCTTTACAACCGCAGGCTATTCAACTCAACATGTGCACCTGCCTAGAACAATGGAAAAACGACGAGGAAATTAAAATTTTCCAGGAGTATTTGCGTATTCCCACGGTGCATCCCGATGTCGACTATAGTGAGGATTGCTATTGTAAATTCTAGTTTCCTCGTTGTTATCCCAATTTCCTTTGACAGCTGCATGCGTGGAGTTCCTGAAGCGGCAGGCTGGCAGCCTGAATCTACCGGTGGATGTGGTCCATCCTGTCATGCCATCCAAACCGGTGGTGATTATGAAATGGCTGGGCAAAAATCCCGAACTGAATACGATTATATTGAACTCGCACATGGACGTGGTTCCCGTGTTTCCCGAAAAGTGGACTTATGATCCGTTCAGTGCCCACATGGATAACCAAGGCCGGATTTATGCACGTGGTGCGCAGGACATGAAATCCGTGGGATGTCAGTATATGGCAGCAGTCCGTTCCCTCAAAGCCAGTGGCTATCAGCCGAAGAGGACGGTGTATTTGACTTTTGTGCCAGACGAAGAAACTGGCGGAGATTTGGGCATGGCTGAATTTGTGAAAGGCGATTACTTCAAGGGCATGAACGTGGGTTTCAGCCTGGACGAGGGCATCGCCAGTGAGGATGAGACTTATCCTGTTTTCTATGCTGAGCGTACGTTTTGGCGTAAGTTTTATATGTTTATAGGGAGGAATATTAACCATATACCATCATATGTAGATCTCCGGCTGAAATTCAATGGCAAATCCGGCCATGGGTCGCTGTTGCACAAAAACACGGCTGGCGAGAAGTTCCAGTACGTCCTGGAAAAGATGATGAAGTTTAGGGAAACCCAGGTCAAACTTCTGGCCAACGACTCTTCTTTGAGTCCCGGTGATGTGACCACCTTAAATCTAACCCAACTCAAGGGAGGAACTCAAAGCAACGTCGTTCCGCCCTTACTAGAAGCTATTTTTGATATTCGCATCGCCGTTACCCAAGATGCTGATGCACTGGAGAAACGGATTAGCGACTGGTGTAACGAAGCTGGTGGAGGAATCGAACTAGACACTGTACTAAAGTGTCCCGCTGTTGAGACCAAGATAGACGCTACCAATCCCTATTGGCTGGGCTTTAAAAGGGGCTTGGATGAACTGTAAGAATAGAGGGAATTAAAGATTTTCCTTTCTAATTTTTGTGTAATTACAGCGGCTTGAAAACGCAAACACGAGTTTTTCCCGGTGCCACAGATAGCTACTACGTCCGGCGGGTTGGGATTCCCGCTCTTGGATTTTCACCCATCAACAACACACCCACACTGCTGCACAATCATGATGAATACTTGCGGGCCGACACCTATCTCAACGGAATTCAGGTGTATAAGAAGCTTATCCCGACACTTGCTGATTCATAAAATGTTCAATCGAAAATCTACTTTCATGAATAAAAAATGGAACTCAATATGCTTCGATTGGCCTTATCTTTTATGAGTAATGTTTGGGAACGATGAGTGTTGGGCCGAAATTAAATGTTTAAAGTCGGTTATTACTTTAAATCATATCTGCAGAAAAACAAATAAAAAATAAACACTTACACCCTTAGTAAAAATTCTTGTGAAGCTTAATTTGTCATGGACTTTGCCCTCAAATGATATCCAATATATCGTCACTACTATAGATTTTACTCTCTTAAACAAACAAAAAAACGTTTTTATTTTGAATAAATGTAATCATTTATATGATATGTTATCTGAAATCGTAAAAATAAAAACAAAAATGTTTATTTTAAGGGCATATAAACATCGGTTAACCTAATTTATAGCAACTATTTGAACTATATCGAATGTGGCTACTGTTTGCTATCAGACATTGGTTTTGTCAATGTTTTGTACAAGAATATGAGCTGTTATCATTGTGGTAAACGCAATCGGTTGATAACGCACTCATTATTTGATAATAATTAAAAAGCAAGGCCATAAAATCGAAAATCATACAACACGAAAATGCCTGTATAAATTCTAACTCTAACCAACGGGAGCTCATTCAAGTTTGGTAACTGACAGCGGACACATCATCACAAAATGAGTACAGAAAAGTGGGAAGACAACGAGGAAATCAAAATATTCCGGGAATACCTAAGGATAGCAACTGTGCAACCAAATGTGGATTACAGTAAGGATTCCCAAGGGATTCCACTTAAAATTGCTCACGTTATCTTAAACTTTTAGCTGAATGCGTGGAGTTCCTGAAGAAACAGGCTCATAGCCTGGATCTTCCGGTTGATGTCATATATCCTGTAGAGAAGAAGCCCGTGGTGATCATTAAGTGGCTAGGAACCGAACCGGAACTACCCTCCATTATTCTAAACTCGCACATGGACGTTGTTCCAGTGTTCCGTGACAAGTGGACCCACGATCCCTTCGCCGCTGATATAGATGAGGAGGGAAGGATCTTTGCTCGTGGTACTCAGGACATGAAGTCCGTGGGCACAGGATATCTTGGGGCCATTCGCCTGCTTAAGGCCAGTGGTGTCAAGCCCAAGCGCAACTTTTTCGTGACCTTTGTGCCCGATGAGGAGATTGGCGGTGAACTGGGCATGCAGGAGTTCGTTAAAACCGAATACTTTAGCAACTTGAATGTTGGACTCAGCCTCGACGAGGGTGGCACCAGCGAAATCGATCTGTTCTATGTGTTCTATGCCGAGCGCATGCGATGGGGTAAGGAGACTTTGAAACTTGGATAAGATATGTCACTAAATAAAATCCTTTTCTGACAGGTCTCAAACTGAACTTCAGTGGAACTTCCGGACATGGTTCGTTGCTCCTGCCCAGCACTGCTGGCGTGAAACTGAACTATGTGCTGAATAAGCTGTCGGAGTTCCGCGAATCGCAGGTCCAGCGTCTGGCGAAGGATCAGACCATAAACATTGGTGATGTGACCACCATTAATCTCACCCAGCTGAGTGGCGGAGTCCAGAGCAACGTGGTGCCACCTCACTTCGAGGCGGTCTTCGACATGCGCCTGTCCATCACCCTAGACGTGGTGGCCTTTGAGAAGCAGATCCACGATTGGTGCGAGGAGGCAGGTGGCGGCATTGAGATCTCCTACGACGAGAAGGAGCCCTACGTGGCACCCACCAAGATTGATGACTCCAATCCGTTTTGGCTGGCCTTCAAAGCTGCCACCGATGAACTGTGAGTTTAGGTTTATGTACTGATAACACTGATTTCTAACTATATATCATTACAGTGGCCTGAAGATCTACCCCATTGTCTGCCCCGGTGCCACCGACAGCAGGAATATTCGTGCTCGGGGCATTCCAGCTTTGGGATTCTCACCCATTAAGAATACTACAATGCGCATCCATGACCACGATGAATATTTGGGAGCCGAGACTTATTTGAAGGGCATTCAAATATACAAGAAAATTCTGGGCAACCTGGCCGAAGTCTGAAAAATTAATTCGAAATAATGCCTGAGAACCTTATCAAAATAAAGATTAATGATTTTGTTATAAGTTGACATACAAATTCCTCGCTTTTTTTTATCTTATCTGCTGCGAATTAAATGGATACGTTTTCACACAAAGATATCAACTTGTATCTAGCAAATACACAAGTTGCTATCCCTACCAGATAAAAGGGAATGCATATAGTATAGTATCTTTAGTTTTCTACATTGAAAGTCCATTAAAGCCAAAATAATCATTTAATTACTATAAAACGAAGGCCATCAATCAATGCTCCAAAAAATTGTGATAGCTTTACGAATTAATGTTTTCCGTTTTTGTGCTATCCAAAATGATTAATTTCAAGAACATGACACAGTTTTTTGGCATCAAAGGTTAAGGTTCTAGTGATAGTAAATAATTAACCATTTACCTAAAAATGTAATCACTATTTTTTATACCCATTACTCGTAGAGTAAAAGGGTATATTAGATTCGTTCGAAAGTATCTAACAGTATAAGGATGCGCTTCCGACGCTATAAAGTATATATATTCGCAGCCACAACCACAAATACAGTTGATAAACATTTGAATGCCTTGACCATAAACATTTAAACAAACATGGATATTATAAAAACACAGGGAATCTCTAATGCAGCTCAGTTGGTCTTTATCTCTAGGAGAATAAGTATAACAATGAGTTCGGAAAAGTGGGAAAACAATGAAGAAATTAAAATATTTCGGGAATACCTGCGTATACCAACGGTGCATCCTGATGTGGACTACAGTAGGTTTTAGTAGGTTCTTGTTTTTAATCCTTAAACATTCAAAAATAATGCACTTTTAGCAACATGTGTGGAGTTTCTTAAGCGTCAGGCAGACTCCTTGAATCTTCCCGTGGATGTAGTATATCCATCTGTTCAAACCAAGCCCGTGGTGATCATTAGATGGCTAGGAAGTCAGCCAGAACTCCCGTCGATTATTCTCAACTCTCATACGGATGTGGTTCCCGTCTTTCGCGATAACTGGACCCACGATCCCTTTGCTGCCGATATAGATGAGGAGGGAAGGATCTTCGCTCGGGGTACTCAGGACATGAAGTCGGTGGGCACCCAATATCTGGGAGCTATTCGTCAGCTTAAGGCTAGCGGTTTCCAGCCCAAACGAACTTTGTATGTGACCTTTGTTCCCGATGAGGAAACTGGTGGCCACTTGGGAATGGCAGAGTTCGTGAAAACGGATTACTACAAGCAAATGAACGTGGGATTCAGCCTAGATGAAGGAGCCACTAGCTCCACTGATGTGCATCACTTGTTCTTCGCCGAACGTTTGCGATGGGGTAAGTTATTAAAGATCCTCAAATGATTCGATAACTAAATTTTCTTCTTCTCCTGCAGGACTTAGGTTGAAGTTTAATGGAACTTCTGGCCACGGATCGCTTTTGTTGCCAAGCACAGCCGGCGTAAAGCTGAACTACGTGCTGAACAAGCTGACGGAGTTTCGAACCTCCCAAGTGAAGAACATGGCAAAGGACTCCAGTCTCAGCAGCGGTGACGTGACCACCGTGAATCTCACCCAGCTGAGTGGCGGAGTCCAAAGCAATGTGGTGCCTCCTCTATTTGAGGCAGTCTTCGACATGCGTATTGCTATTACCGTAGATGTAGTTGCCTTTGAGAAACAAATTAGGGACTGGTGCGAGGAAGCTGGAGGTGGCATCGACATTGATTTCTTCCAAAAAGAACCTTTTGTAGGACCCACCAAACTGGACAACTCAAATCCCTTCTGGTTGGCTGTCAAAGCAGCAATCGATGAACTGTAAGTACTTTTTATATAGTATCTAATGAGATATATTTTAATCTTCTGGTTCTTTAGAGGATTGAAGGTGCATCCCATCGTGTGTCCTGGTGCCACCGATAGCCGTTTCATTCGCCAAAAGGGAACCCCGGCAATTGGATTTTCGCCCATCGTTAACACCACCATGCGGATCCACGACAACGACGAGTTCCTACATGCTGATGTTTATCTTAACGGCATTGAAGTGTACAAGAAGATTATTCGTAATCTGGCTGAAGCCTAATAAAATGATTTTATCTCAACAAAAATTACCTGATTCTTCTTTAGAGTGCTTATCTTATATAACGTTGGGGGAATTTATATAATCATAGGTCCTATAGCGTTGTGAAGTAATCAAACATTCAGCATAATTGTGACTATGAAAATATATCTCTTTTAACATTACGGTCATTGGTCAATACTTTTAGATAATATAACTTATAATCCTTAATAAACAAAATTGGATTTTTAGTCTTATCCCGGGCAGCATCTATTTATAGAATATAGTGTGTCACTTCATAGAGACAAGCCGCCTTTTGATAAAGATTTTATGATCATATTTACAGAAGATACCGATTCGAGAGCATATAAGAGCAGTGGATATCTTAAGCAGCTTATTCGCAGTTCAGCGCTTCAAGTATCTCTGTTGAATTTTTCAAAATGAGTGCCAGCAAATGGAAGAACAATGAGGAAATTAAAATATTTCAGGAGTACTTGCGCATTCCATCCGTACATCCGAATATTGATTACTGTAAGGACTCTTATTGGCCAGATATTCCAATTAATACACAATTTTTCAGCTGCCTGTGTGGATTTTATAAAACGACAAGCTGACTCCCTCGATCTCCCCGTGGAAGTAGTTTATCCAGCTGATAAATCGAAGCCGATTGTGATTATTAAGTGGCTGGGAAAAAAACCGAAGCTCCCGTCAATCATACTAAACTCGCACATGGATGTGGTTCCCGTGTTTCCGGAAAGGTGGACTCACGGACCTTTTTCCGCTGATATAGATAAAGAGGATCTTTGCTAGGGGTACTCAGGATATGAAATCCGTGGGTACTCAGTATCTAGGAGCTATCCGTCTTCTGAAGGCTAGTGGCTTCCAGCCGAAACGGACAGTTTACGTAACCTTTGTGCCCGACGAGGAGATTGGAGGTATCCTTGGTATGGCAGCGTTCGTTAAAACGGACTTATACAAAGAAATGAATGTGGGATTCAGCCTGGACGAGGGATGCACAAGTGCTAGTGATGTTCATCATTTGTTCTACGCTGAGCGTATACGATGGAGTGAGTAGCCATGTCACATGACATAGATCAATGCTTATCACCTCTAACAATATTATTCTTTAGTTCTTAAATTGAAAGTTGGAGGAACTGCTGGCCATGGTTCTCTATTGTTGCCCAATACTGCTGGGGTAAAGTTGAACTATGTGTTAAACAAGCTAACTGAGTTTCGGGAATCACAGATCCAGAGACTTAAAAACGACAAGAACCTAAGCTTAGGTGATGTGACCTGCGTGAATCTCACCCAGTTGAGTGGCGGAGTTCAGAGCAATGTGGTCCCTCCGCTTTTTGAGGCCATCTTTGATATGCGTCTGTCTATAACCTTGAACTTAGTTGGCTTTGAGAAGCAAATTCGGGACTGGTGCGAGGAGGCTGGTGGTGGAATCGAGATGGAGTTCCCCCTGAAAGAGACCTATGTGGGACCTACCAAACTGGATGATTCCAATCCCTATTGGTTAGCTTTGAAATCTACTTTTGATGAACTGTAAGTGTTTTTTATATATTTTTATATAGAATATATATTATTCCCTGATATTTTTTAGTGGTTTGAAAGTAAAGCCGATTGTCTGCTTCGCCGTCACCGACAGCCGTTTCATTCGTCAGCAAGGAACCCCAGCAGTTGGATTTTCACCCATCATCAATACTCCTGTACTTATCCATGACCACGATGAGTTTCTCAAAGCTGACGATTATTTGAATGGCATTCAAGTTTACAAGAAGATTATTTCCAAACTTACTGAAGTTTAGAATTTGAGCGTACATATTATGCTAAAGGTATCAGTTTTTAGTATTCATAAAAAATCAAAAGCAATTTAAACTCTGCAAAATGTTTACATTACCTAAATGGCCCGCTGGGGAAATTCATGGAAAGAGGGAAAAAACGATTACTTTGAGGAAATCAACCTGGGCTTCTGTCTAGACAAAGGTGTGGTCTTATCCAATGAAGTTTAGTCCAAAAGGCTTTCTGGTGTTGGTAATACCTTCAATAAAACTTAATAATCCTCATTGCTCTCAATAAAACAATGATAAACCAAATTGTTTAAATAATAAGCCGGATAACTGATCTCTGCTTGGGGCTCTGGGGCTTGTGGGTTCAAACGGCAACTATCGATCCTCTGTGTCCTTTTCCAGCAAACACTCCTAGTAGTACAACCAAATTGACTCCTATCTGCAGCGCTGCTAGCTTTACAAGCAACTCATTTCGGCGTTAGTCAGTCTAGGTGCATCGCGCATACGCCCCTTCAGCCCATTTGCCAATTTGCCTGCTGGACAAAAAGCTGTCATCGATGTGACAGCAGCGTACAGCAACTTTGCGAGACACTACTGCCAAGCGGACGAGACAGGTGGGAGTGAGTTTTGTCAGTTAGTCAAACAAAATAAATTTTAAGGCCCCCGCCACCTGGAACCTAGAGGGGATCGGTGGGGTCACAGGTTCATGGGTTAAACTGCTGCATGTCAGTCTCTGCAAATTGTCAGTTGGCCAGCACTTCGGAATGTCTGACATGTGAGTGGTGCCAAGGGCAATAAATTATGCTGGGGCCGCAGAATGAATAATGGCTACGTGCTCTCAAAGGGACACCACCCTACTAGCCACCCATTTTGGCCATTTGTGTCCTGGCTGCAACTGTGACCCATGCGTGCCGATTAGACATGTTAATGCATGTGTCAGGGCAATGAAATATGTATTGATGGCAGACTGAAGGAGAGAGATCCCTTGTCCTTTGTGTGGCCTGGAATTATGACAATTTATCAGGCGAATGTCAGTTGGAAGTGGAAGTGGGGCGGGTGGGTCAGAGTGCATTTCAAATGCTTTCCACGCAATTAACACTGACCATTAGTGGCGCCAGTTTGGCATAATGAGTGCAGGTCCAGCCCTTTAACGCTCTCGTTACCGCTAGCAACTTAATGCATATCATTTTTACTTTTAATGAGCTGGTGGCAGTTGGCAGCACAGCTCGCTCACCTTTTTTTCTTTTATATATATATATATTTTTCGCCCTCCATCGCCTCCTGTCTGGTCCTCGCAGAGTGCACTTAATGCACCAAGTTTTTGCAGCCCACCTGCCACGAACCCACTTGAAAGCAAGTTCTGAGTTTTGGGTTCCAGGGCTCTGGTCTCCCTTTCCCACGGCGTTCTGCTTTGCATTTTAAATTTCCGCCAACTCCCATAATGTGCCAGTGTGTATGTTTGGGGTAGGGAAAAAGTTTGGCAACTTTTACATTTCAATTTTAATTTCTTTGGCCCACACTCGATGCAAACTTTAAGCCAAACCTGAGCAAATTCTTAATGGCCCACTCACACTAATTAGGACCTCCAGAAGTTTCTGCGCCTTTAAAGATTCCCTTCTTTTTGGTTTTCCTCTAAGAAAGAGCTCCACATTTGCATTTGCCAGCAGCCTTGATTTTTTATTACCGTCCGAAGTTTATGACGAATAAAACCCAGCAATCACAATGAAAAACTCGTTCCTAATTAAATTCAATTTACTTGTGACTGCTGCGGCTCGATGTCCTGAAATTGGAGGCTCACAACATTATGACCATGCAATTAAAACCTAAGATAAAAGCGAGCTCAGGATGCTATCTGCGTTGGCTGCTCATTGAGTACAGTTGTGGGTAAAATAAAAGTCTTGTTTTATATTTCTAAGTATTTCAAAAAATATCAAACAAAAATTAGTATAAATAATATTAAATGGTTAATAACTTTAACAGAGTTTTATTTTAAAATTGATATCTAAGAAAGTATTTAGCTGCTACTATTTTTAGTTTTTTATCCTTGTAACCCTTATATACTTAAATGCAAATAAAATGTTTAAGTTCCAAAAATCAACTTTGGGACTATTATTTTGCCTGCAGCTGTATGGGCATATTCACAGAGCACGTGAAATGTGTGGTACATATACTCGACTGGGGACAGCAAAGTGTTTTTATGCAGCACAAAGGCAATTGCCGTCGCCTTGTTTTCTAATGTCGCCACAGCTGCACAGTGGGGCGAACAGGTGAACGGGCAGCAGGTTTTTTCATTGCCACATGAAAATTAATTTAAAATTAAGAGAAAAAAAGAGAGAGACAGAGAGACCCCGTAGAGTGGAGGTTAATATGTCGTAGATCAAAGTCAGGCCATAGATGAGATCCCATTTACCACTCCTCCACACACACACACATCCTGCCATTGTGCCGCGCCAGAAACAGACAGCATCCTGCCGCTGGGATAATAAACGTGGGTTAGAACCACGTCCTGTTAGAACAGCAGCTGACTGAAAAGTGTCATTAAGGCGCAGGCACGCCCACACGCACTCACACGCTTAATAAAGTCAATTGAAGTCTCCATGGCGCTTATGTGTGTGTATGTGCGTGTGTGTGGGGCAAATAATTTATTTTGTCGTTAAGCTTAACTCCAGCCATTGCGGAAAAAAGAGAGGCAAACTAATTAACTTGTTTAGCGCCAAAGCTGCGCAATTTCTACGCTACCAGCTTAAGTTTAAGCGCCACTGCCGCCCAACTAATGAGCTCCTGTGTGGCATATATATATCTATATATATATATATATAGCTATATCTAAAGCTATATAGCACTTTATAGTATAGTGCTCGGTTGTGCGGGTGCGACATTAGGAGAGGGTTTCCCCAGCAAAATTCTTCTAAAAAGTTGCGCCTGATTAAGCCCTTGCGGCCATGGGTGAAAGTGGGGTTTTGGCTTTTGGAAATGGCTCTTGGGATTCTAGGAGCATCTAGTTTCGCATACGCAAGTCTCTCTTGCATAATTCCAACTTCCACTTGTAGAAATTTATTTAACTACGCAGAGTTGCTAGGAATTGAGTTTTGCGACTAATTGTTTATAATTTGTCTTCATCCTTGAAACTTTCACAAACGAAACTAAAATTTTAGAAGCCGTTAATCAAAACTTAGAGATTAGAGCCTAAATCAGAAAAAAGGAATGGCAATTTCTAAGAAAACTAATAAAGCAACTTTTTGAGAACCATTCAGAA